CATCCCCGCTCCCACCCATCCCAGACCCCGGCCGGCTCTGGGGCGCTGCGCCACGGGCCCCGAGCAAAGAAAACACCGCCACCCGAGAGGGACCGATAATTCGAGAGTGCTTTTCCCGGGGATCGTGAGGCCGGCGCCCGCAGGTCTACGATGGCTGCGATGACCGGGGGATTGAGCGCTCGGAGCAATTCCTGAGAGACGCTCACCTCGGGCCGCTTAGGGGAAGAGGAAGAGCGGGGGCTTCTGGGAGAATTCAAGACAGCTTGACCTCTCGCGAGATTTCCGGTCGAAATAACGAGATCGGAAGCGGTAGGAAAGTTGGAGAAGGAAGGGAGTGTGAAACATGTTTTAAGAATGTCCGCGAACGACTAGTCGTCTTAGGGACTATCTCAAAACTCTCTCTTTTTGTTTCCAGAAATAAAGCTATGAGATTTAAAAGCTATTCCATTAAAAACAGGTTTGTCGCTCTAGGGCGGAACCATAGGAAGGAGACTTTTTATTTACCCGTTAACATTCGTTAGTTTTGATTATGGGATCATGTGCCCTGAGCGTGGTTTGTAAATTGGCGATTATATTTATTAGATTCCCGCCTGTAGTCTCAGCTACTCTACTCGGGAGCCCGAGAAGGGAGGATCGCTTCAGGCCAGGAGTCGGAGACTGCAATGAGCTGTGAATGCGCCACTGCACTCTCGCCTCGGCAACAGAGCGAGACCGCCTTCTCTAGACAAAACAAATATACTATTAAGGTAATATCGAAGTACAAATAGTTAATCATTAGCATTCCATGTACTTGTTCGCTCACCTACTCTGTGAATATTTATCGAACCTTTATTATGTGTTCTGCCATGGTGCTAGATGCAGGGCTGTAATGGGCACTAGGAGAGTCTCTAACCTCAAGGAAGGACAGTCCTGGGGTCGGGACAGGGGTGTGAGGGAAACAGCCTGGTGGGACACGAGAATGGGATAATGGGATACGACAGTGGGGGGGAGCACTGAGGACCACGTTAGAGGTGCTCAAGTGGAAACTGCTCCAGACCTCAGGTTGGGAAGCCATTCTTAAGACCATGCCATGGCCTGGGCCGAGGTGGGCCAGCAGCAGCCAGCACGGCATTAGAGGGAATGATTATTCTGGCCAATGGAAAGTTTCACGTGGGAACTGCAGGTGTTGAATTCCTCCTGGAAACCAATGAGGAGAGAGGAGGAGAGGAGAACCTCATCTTGAAGGGTCCTGTCTGTTGGCCAAGAGGTTTTAAAATCTCCTAAGTTCTGTCAATGAGGACTTTTAAAAGGGCTTAAACCCCTGGGGCATGTGTGTGGGGAGGGCAGGGCTTGGTGGCTTGCGGAGATTCACCTTTGAAAGGACCTCTCTGGCCAGAAGCATTCTGTTCCCAAGTGGTGGCCATGGGCTATGTCTGCATGTCCACGAATGGTGACTGTGGGCTATGTCTGTCTGTCCTCGAATGGTGACCACGAGCTCTTTCTTCTGTCCCTGAATGGTGACCACAGGCTATATCAGTTTTTCCATCAATGGCAATCGTGGGCTCTGTTTGTCCCTAAATGGCAAACATGGGCTCTGTCTGTGTCGGAATGGTGACCACAGGCTATGTCTGTCTGTCCCCGAATAATGACCGTGGACTCTGTATGTCCTTGAATGGTGATCATAGGCTCCATCTGTGTGACCTGGAGTGGTGACCGCAGACTCTGTCTGTTTATCCCTGAATGTTGACCACAGACTCCATCTGTCCGTCCCTGAATGGTGACCATGGGCTGTCTGTCCCCAAATGGTGACTGTGGACTCTGTCTGTTTCTCCCTGAATGGTGACCATGTGCTCTGTCTGTCCTGAATGTTGACCTCAGGTTCTGTCTATCCATCCGCGAATGGTGGCCATGGGCTCCATCTGTCTGTCCCCAAATGGTGACCGCAAGCTCTGTTTGTCTGTCCCTGAATGGTAACTGCAGGCTCTGTCTTCTGTTCCTGAATGGTGACCCCAGGCTCTATCCATCTATCTGTGCCTGAATGGTGACCGTGGGCTCTGTCTGTTTGTCTCTGAATGGTGACGGTGGATTCTGTCTGTCCCCGAATGGTGACGGTGGGCTTTTGTTTGTTCTTGGATGGTGACCATGGACTCTGTCCCAGAATGGTGACTATGGACTCTGTCCCCAAATGGTAAACATGGGCTCTGTCTATATGTCCCTGAATGGTGGCCATCAGCTCTGTCTGTCTGTCCCCAAAAGGTGACTATGGGCTCTGTCTGTTTGACCTTGAATGGTAACCACAGGTTCAGTCTATCTGTCCACGAATGGTGACCATGAGCTCTGTCTGTTTGTCCCTGATGGTAAACATAGGCACTGTCTGTTTGTCCCTGAATGGTGATCATGAACTCTGTCTTCAAATGGTGACTGCAGACTCTGTCTGTCTGACGCCGAATGGTGACCGTGGGCTCTGTCTTTTTGTCCTTGAATGGTGACACTAGGCTCTGTCTGTTTGTCCTTCAATGGTAACCACAGGCTCCGTCTATCTGTCCATGAATGGTGGCCATGGACTCTGTTTGTCTGTCCCTGAATGGTAAACATGGGCTCTGTATCCCTGAATGATGACTGCAGACTCTGTCTGTCTGTCCCTGAACCGTGACCACAGTCTCTGTCTATTCCTGAGTGGTTACCATGGTCTCTGTCCATCTGTCCACAAATGGTGACTGTGGGCTCCATCTGTCTGTCCTTGAATGGTAAACATGGGCTCTGTCTGTCTGTCCCCGAATGGTGACCACGGACTCTGTCTGTCCCTGAATGGTGACCACAGTTTCTGTCTATCTGTCCACGAATGGTGGCCATGGACTCTATCTGTCTATCCTTAAATGGTAAACATGGGCTCTGTCTGTTTGTCCCTGAATGGTGACCATGGACTCTGTCTGTCTCTGAATGGTGACCATGGGCTCTATCTGTCCATGAATGGTGGCCATGGGCTCTGTCTGTCCTCAAGTGGTAAACATGGGGTCTATCTGTCTGTCCCTGAATAGAGATCACGGGCTCTGTCTATCCCTGCATAGTGACCATGGGCTCTCTATCTGTCCACAAGTGGTGACCATGGGCTCTGTCTGTCCTCAAATGGTAAACATGGACTCTGTCTGTCTCTGAATGGTGACCACGCGCTCTGTCTGTCCTCGAATGGTAAACATGGGCTTTGTCTGTCTCTCCCTGAATGATGACCATGGGCCCTGTCTATCCCTGAATGGTGACCATAGGCTCTGTATGTCCCTGAATGGTGACCACAGGCTCTGTCTGTCTGTCCGTCCCTGAGTGGTGACCATGGACTCTGTCTATTCCTGAATGGTGACCATGGGTGCTGTCTGTTTCTGAATGGTGACCACAGGCTCTGTCTGTATGTTCATGAATGGTGGCCATGGGCTCTCTCTGTCTGTCCTCGGATAGTAAACATAGGCTCTGTCTGTTTGTCCCTAAATGGTGACAACAGACTCGTCTGTCCCTGAATGGTAACCATGGATTCTATCTGTCCATAAATGGTAGCCATGGGCTCTGTCTGACTCCGAATGGTGACCATGGGCTCTGTCTATCCTTCAGTGGTGACCACGGGCTCTATCTGTTTGTCCTTGAGGGGTAACCACAGGCTTTGTCTCTCTGTTCGAGAACAGTGGCCTTGGGCTCCGTCTGTCCCCGAATGGCAACTGCGGGCTTGGTTTGCTGTGTGGCTCCCCAGGAGCCGCAGGACACAGCATGCCCTCAGCCTTTTCACAACGATGGCCATTCTCCTCACTGACCCAACAAAGATGTCAAGTGGGTCCTGCAGGTGGTTGACAGTTTGTCCAAAGAAGGATTTTCAGTGGAGGCCATGAATTCGCAGCTAGGGCTTTTCAGCCTAGCATCTCCATTGGCCAGCGTTGGGCAGCCCAGCTGTCTTCCTGGGAGGGGACATCTGGGGGTTTGCAGATGAATGGATACTCAGTGTCCTGCCTTTGGATCACTATCCACTTCCCTGCCCTCGTGTGGGCTCTGCAGAGGGCTGGTCCCTGGGCCTTCCACAGAGCCAGGAGGACCATCTTAATCCCTCTTGGGGATTTGCTTGGGCTCCTCAGTCTGGGCCTCTCACACAACGTTGTGTTGAGCTTCACTTAGAAACTGGCCTTATTAGCCAGGAGGAGGGAATTCTTTTCAGACAGTTGGAAAAATGTAATCCCTTACTCAGGGGACTAGAGGCCTTTTATTTGCTTCTCAGAGCGGGATGCTGGCCTCTCCTCTCTGCTGCCCTGCCTTTCTCTTACCTCCTTCAGGGGAATAGCTGGCATTCTTCTTTCCGGGACTTTCCTAAGGGACCCCATGCCGTCTGCTTTCCTGAGACCCTTAGTTCCTTGAGCTGCAAAGTTTCCTCTTCGTTGTTGTAGCTTTCCTTACTGTATATAATTTTTAAGAGGTGTGAATTTTTTTAAGGCCAAATGTAAAAGTACATTTTCTTTTTCATCTTGTCACGTGAGGCAAGCATAGTTAGTTAGCATAGTTTAGAAGTAGTTAGACAGGTTTTCCTAGGCAGTTCTAACTTAGAAGAGGGTAAGCATTCAGACATCTTTCTTATCCGTACACAACCTTCATTAGACTGACCCAGCATATCAGAGGTGATGGAATGTGGATTTACCAGTACAGTAAATCACAGAAGTAATAGAGAGTTGCCCAAGACATAGACGTGTTGTTCTAAGAAAAGCGCAAAATGAGCTAGACAGAAACTTTCATTGTTTAGAAGGTCATTGGGATCTTAAAGGTTGAGAGATGTTAATCAAAACTTGTGACCAGATACCTGCAGCCCACCCCTCTTAACTCAAGGCTTTCTTAATCCTGATTGTAAAAGTATATAAAGCAGCTGGTCATGGTGGTTCATGCCTGTAACCCCAGTACTTTGGGAGGCGGAGGCAAGAGGATTGCCTGAGCTCAGGAGTTCAAGACCAGCCTGGGCAACTTGGTAAGATCTCGTCTCTACAATACATAAAAAATTAGCCAGGTGGTGGTGGTACACGTCTATGGTTCCAGCCACTTGGAAGGCTGAGGTGGAAGGATTGCCTGAGCCCAGGCATGCCACTGCACTCCAGCCTTGGTGACAGAGTAAGACTCTGACTCAAAACAAACAAACAAACAAACAAGTATATAAAGCTTCTTGTCAAAGGCAAGCACATGTCCTTTCTCCTAAGGCACCCATGCTCTTTGAGTATGTCTTCTTTCCAATAAATTTGTCTTAAATTATACTTTGGACTTGCTCTGAAATTCCTTTCTCTGACCGAGCCAAAGACTCTATGGGGCAACT